GGGCTGGCACAATGCGAATATAAGCCAAGTATGTCGTTCATTCAAGAATTTGTTCGTTTTTTTATATATACTGGTGTTTTACCTGTTTTTTGTATATATATATATGTATGAATGTATCGATGCTATGTCGTATTTTGCCCGCACGGATGCAATGTAGTGAGTAGTGACTTTAATGGCTGATGCAGAGCACCCCCCCCCCACTCCCACTGGGAGTGTGAGCAGGGCTTGTGGGATTAAAAAATGTTCCCAAGTCACGGGGTTTGAGCAATGTGGGGAGGGGAGAAGTCAGGGTCTCATGGACTAGGGTTGTTGTTGCGTATGTGTGTGTGTGTGAGAGAGAGAGAGTGTGTGTGTGAGTGCGCTTATGTGGTACACTAAAAAAAAGCCAGTAGTCAAGGCAAAGGCAAAAAAAAGTGATTTCGTAGTACGTTATGTAAATCAGCTTGCGTACGTACGCAAGCCCGTCCAGTCTTACTGTCCCAAACGGGCCGGTTATTCCGTTATTCCTAAAGTCTATTTTGCCAATGGGAGGGGGAGAAAGGTGTGAGGCCGGGTTATTTGATGGGAAGATCTTTTGTGGGTTGTGGAGGAAGAGGATGACGGGGGCGTGGGTGAGGATTCATTTCGCCTTGATGTGCCAGAGCGTGGGGGTCTGATGTGAATACATACTACCAATGTCTAAGAGAAAGAAGGGAAAAACAAGGGATCACCTGTGGTTTTAGCTTGATTGGGTAACTCGAGTAATGGAGGAAAAAACAGGGTCCCGTGATGTGTGCATAGGGTAAGCTTGTTAGCTTGTTAGGTTCGAGTTACTCGTTTGGGGCGTGGTGAGCGTCGGGAAAATTAGGGTTGTTGCTAAGAGTGCACGTGATCGGGACGTGGGCGTATATTGGAACCTTGTGCCCCGCTTTTTCTTGGACGAAGCGATCTTGATGGCAAAATGGCAAAAGTTGAAGTTCCCAGTCAAGGGTCCAAATTTGTGGATTACCTTTTGGAGTAATGTTAGGGAGGTTATGGGTTACATATCATTGTGTCCAGAGCAATGTCTATTGAATTTCTGTCATGGTGAGTATGCGACGCCAGATGCTCTCATTTTTTTCTTGTTTGGGAAAACCAAGGCATCGGGACATGGAATCCGATCTTGTCGGAGAGATCGACTGTCTTGCGTCGGGAATCAGACGTTGAAGTCGGACTCGGCCTCTGGGAGATAGGGCAAGTCGGAGAATGGCCACCGTTTTTGACTCTTTTGGCACAAAGGCCCGAAGAAAAGGCACATAGGTATTAGGTACACGAATCCTGCAGAGATTGGCCGTCGAATGGCAGTGGTGAGATTGGCACTAGGTTGGGGGTGCTGAGCACAGGTGGTGTGTTTTGATTGTGTTGAAGAAATGCCTGGTATATCCGCCGGGTAACGTGTGCAGAGCTGGGCAGGGCCACAGGCGACATCGGCCAGACCAGCAGAACAAAGGTCTGCCTGTCCTCGTGACTCGTCTCCCGCTACGTGGTGCCGGACTGTAGGCAGTGTCGGTTCCGATCTGTTCCGAACATGATGCGGACACTCAGACTGGTGCTTCGTGGCCAGCGGCCAGCAGCCGTAGCGGGCCGGCCAGAAGAATGGTCCAACTTGCTGGGACCATGTGCGTGTGCGTGTGCGTGTGCGTGAGGGAGCAGCAGAAGGGGTCTTTTGCAGAAGCCCACGGCTGCGGCTAGCTGGGTGATATTCACTGCAATCTGCGCTGCAATGATGTCGTCGACTGCGTCGTCGAGCAATGAGGGCGGAAGCTCCGCCGCGCACGGGCGGGGTTATATCTTGTCCCGTCCAACGAGGGGCGAGAGAAGGAAGGGCATAGGGCAAGCTCCCGCCCCGGAGATGCTTGGGCGCAGATAAGGCCAGACATGACGCTGGGGAATTACGACAAGATGGTCGAGGCGAGGCCGGCGGCCCAATTGGCGCGGGCGAGATTCAGCTGATGCGGCACATGCAACCGTCTGCGCATCCGCACCCAACCCGACCAACCCGACCTTCGGAGGCCCAGCCTGCCACTGTACAGACGAACGCCTGCAGGGCGGTCGGCCCCGGCTGCCCAATCACGCCCGCCCTTATCGTCATGGAGCGGCAGAAAAACCGTGGGGTAGGTCAATTTTCCCATGCGCAACCCGCCGCAGAGGTCGCTATACTGTACTGTACTACTACCGTATCCACACACGACCAGCGCTGCCAACCTTCCGCCACGCCGCGGCAGACGCAGTGAGGAACAATGCCTCGTAGCAGCCTGAGCTCACGCTGGCGGTGGCGAGCTGCAAACACCCGGGGGCTGCTACCAAACAAAAAAAATACCTAGACCCTGACAATTGCGATTTCATGTGTCGTACTTGGTAGTGAGCGAGGGGGGGCGTCATCTCACCACCACATGCAAACAAAGCACCAAGGCATCAACCCACCCCCAGCATCAGGCAGTCCCCAGTCTGCAGCGGCAAAGAGACCGACCCGACCGACCGACAAGGCCTACAAGTGACAGCAGAAACGCCTCCCTCGACGCGCTTCTGGCCCCATCATTGGACACTGTCAAGTCGACTTGCTAGCGCATTGGGAAAATATCCACCCCACCACCAGCCCTCCGCCCTCTTATTCATAAGTACCTCCTCCCAACTCGCCGCGCCCTTTGCCCTCTCCCTCTTCTTGCCTTGCACTCTCTCCAGCACAATCGCTACAATCTACTTGCAGGAACACCGCGAGCCGACTACACGGCCAGTTCCATTAGTCCCCACATCCAGTAAGTGAGTGCTCTGCCTCCCATGTCTACGCCTGCTGCACCTACCCACCCACCCATCTGCGACCATACATTGTGCTTTTCCACCGCCACGCCGGCCTGGCCTGTATTAGCCACCCTTCTACTGCACTTTGGCCGCCTACCCCGCGTGAGCCCATTCGCTGCCTCTCTTATCAGCACATCCTCTGCTTGGATACCCCATTATTCGCCGCGGCCATTTGCGTGAGCGTCATAGCGATCAATTGCTTACCTCCGCCCAAATCCGCCTCTTCAGCGACCCGGTCCCATTGTTTGGCTAGCTCCCACAGTGTTTTATGGTTGCAATCCCCTCTAGCAACAACCGTTCCCCCCCCCCCCCCCCCACACACACTCGCAATTGTTGCTTTTGAAACTAGGCGTATGCGCCCCGTTGTACCAAGCTACCGTTTCCTTTCGGCCCTCTTGCTCGCGCCCACAGCTTGCTTCTTCTTTTTCTTCTTATGAACCAAAAAAATTAACTCCTCCTCCAGAGTTCATCAGTAGACTAGACCACCACCTCCAGATCGACGCATTGAGCGACCCCGCGACACGCCGATAACGATACTGCACCCTTCCCACCACCAACACCAACGAAACCCACGAATTCGGCCTTTTGCCGATATAATGGGTCGGGTCTCGTTCGCCGAAGATACAAAGTTGCCCCAGGAGACCCAGATTGAAGAAGAGCAGACTTCAGTGTTTGCTTATCAGGATGGCCCGGAGAACAAGTCCTGGGCGGGTGCGCTGCCCTTGAAGCAGGGTCTCTACGACCCAGAGCTAGAGAAGGATGCTTGTGGTGTCGGTTTTGCTGCGTAAGTGACAATCACAATCAGTTTGCTGAGAGTGCCTGAGGGCCAACTGACCATTCTGCAGCCATATCAAGGGCAAAGCTAGCCACAAGATCGTCTCTGACGGTAAGAAAAATCGTATACACCCAAAATTGCAGAAACATGTATACTGACAAATCAACAGCACGGTCATTGCTATGCAACATGACCCATCGAGGAGCCGTTGGCTCCGACGCAAGAGATGGTGACGGTGCAGGTGTAATGACCTCCATCCCCCACCGATTCTTCCTCAAGGAGTTTGAGCGTGAACAAGGCTACAAGCTGCCCAAGCTTGGCCAGTACGCTACTGGCAACCTGTTCTTCAAGCCGGACCCTAGCATCTTGGATGAGACCAAGACCATGTTTGAGGATGTTGCAGACCAGCTGGACCTGAGGGTGCTTGGATGGCGAACAGTGCCGCGCGATTCAACACTTCTTGGACCCGCGGCCTTGTCACGAGAGCCCATTATCCTCCAGCCATTCGTTGTTCTGAAAACTGCCTACGGTGATGGTCGGGAGCCAAAGGCTGATTTCCAGCAAAAGTACGACAACGCATACTTTGAGCGACAGCTCTATGTCATGCGAAAGCGGGCTACACACGTCATTGGCCTACACAACTGGTTCTACATTTGCTCACTGAGCAACAAGAACATTGTCTACAAGGGACAGCTTTCTCCAGTTCAGGTCTATGAATACTACCATGATCTGCTCAACGTTGATTACGAGGGTCACTTTGCCTTGGTGCACTCGCGCTTCTCGACCAACACATTCCCCAGTTGGGACCGTGCGCAGCCTCTGCGATGGGCGGCTCACAACGGTGAAATTAACACCCTACGAGGAAACAAGAACTGGATGCGAGCCCGTGAGGGTGTCATGAAGTCTAGCCTCTTTGGTGAGGAACTCGATCTTCTCTACCCAATCGTCGAGGACGGAGGCTCCGATTCTGCGGCTTTTGACAACGTCCTTGAGCTGTTGACTATCAACGGCGTTCTGTCTCTCCCAGAAGCAGTCATGCTCATGGTCCCAGAAGCATGGCAGGGCAACAATACCATGGATCCCGCCAAAGCGGCCTTTTACGAATGGGCTGCTTGTATGATGGAGCCTTGGGATGGTCCTGCACTCTTCACTTTCTCCGACGGACGGTACTGCGGTGCCAACCTCGACCGAAACGGTCTACGTCCTTGCCGTTACTACATCACTGATGACGACCGCATTGTCTGCGCGTCCGAAGTCGGCACCATCTCTATCGAGCCTGAGCGAGTTGTTCAAAAGGGCCGTCTCCAGCCCGGTAGGATGTTGCTTGTCGATACTGTCGCTGGTCGAATTGTCGATGACGCTGAGCTGAAGAAGTCCGTCGCGGAGCGTAACGATTTCCGCAGATGGATCGAGAAGAACCTTTTGACTCTTCCCAAGATTGTTCAGTCCGTCGGCGAAAAGGGTATCGATCTTTCTCACTCACTCACTGAGACTAAGCTTCACGAAGACCCTCGTCTACGAGCATTCGGTTATTCTCTCGAGCAAGTCAGCTTGCTTCTCGGACCCATGGCCGCCGACTCCAAGGAGGCTCTTGGATCCATGGGTAACGATGCTCCCCTTGCTTGCTTGGCAACACAGCCTCGTCTGTTGTATGAGTACTTCCGTCAGCTTTTTGCTCAGGTCACCAACCCTCCTATTGACCCTATCCGTGAGGCTATTGTCATGTCTCTCGAGGCCTATGTTGGTCCCCAGGGCAACCTCCTAGAGATGGATGAGTCGCAGTGTGGTCGTCTGCTTTTGCCGTCCCCAATTCTTACTCTTGAGGAGTTCAAGGCAATGACCAATGCCCACACCCTCTATCGCGAGTGGACCGTCAAGAGCATCGACATCACCTTCCCCAAGAGCGAGGGTATCGAGGGATACATGAATGCTCTGGACCGTATCTGTGAAGCGGCCACAGAGGGCATCCAGGCAGGCGACAACATTCTCGTCTTGACCGATCGTGCAACATCTGTCGACCGCGTTGCCGTATCTGCTTGCTTGGCTACTGGTATGGTTCACCACCACCTTGTCCGCAACAAGTGGCGGTCCAGTGCAGCTCTCGTTGTTGAGACTGGCGAGGCTCGCGAGGTTCACCACATGTGTGTCCTTGTCGGATACGGTGCTGATGCTGTCTGCCCCTACCTTGCCATTGAGTGTATCCTGAAGATGCACCGTGAGGGCATCATTCGCAAGAACTTGACACCTGAACAGCTCATTCAGAACTACAAGCACTCCTGTGATGGTGGTATTTTGAAGGTCATGAGTAAGATGGGTATCTCGACGCTCCAATCTTACAAGGGCGCCCAGATTTTCGAGGCTCTTGGTCTTGACGACTCTGTTGTCGACCGCTGCTTCACTGGCACTGCATCGCGTATCAAGGGTATGACCTTTGAGCTTATCGCAGCAGATGCATTTGCTCTCCACGAGAAGGGCTACCCATCACGCCCTATTGTAGAGGTACCTGGTCTTTCTGAGACTGGTGAGTACCACTGGCGTGATGGAGGCGAGCCTCACGTCAACGACCCTACTGCCATGGCCAACCTCCAAGACGCTGTTCGCACCAAGAATGACAAGTCGTATGAGGCTTACTCTATCGCCGAGTATGAGCGTATCAAGGACTGTACCCTTCGTGGTCTTCTTGATTTCAACTTCGATGACCGCGCTCCTATCCCCATCGACCAAGTCGAGCCATGGACCGACATTGTTCGCCGCTTCGTCACCGGTGCCATGTCCTACGGATCCATCTCTATGGAGTCACATTCAACTCTCGCCGTCGCCATGAACCGTCTTGGTGGAAAGTCAAACACTGGAGAGGGTGGTGAAGATCCTGAGCGCAGCTTGCGCATGGAGAACGGCGATACTATGCGCTCCGCCATCAAGCAGATTGCTTCTGGACGTTTCGGTGTTACATCTAATTACCTCGCAGATGCTGATGAGCTCCAAATCAAGATGGCACAAGGTGCTAAGCCTGGTGAAGGTGGTGAACTTCCTGGCCACAAGGTCTCTGGTTCCATTGCTAAGACTCGTCACTCTACCCCTGGTGTCGGTCTTATTAGTCCTCCTCCCCACCACGACATTTACTCCATTGAGGATCTTAAGCAACTGATCTACGACCTGAAGTGTTCTAACCCTCGCGCTCGTGTCTCAGTCAAGCTCGTCTCCGAGACCGGCGTTGGTATCGTCGCTTCCGGTGTTGCCAAGGCGAAGGCTGACCACATCCTCATCTCCGGTCACGATGGTGGTACCGGTGCCTCTCGATGGACTGGTATCAAGTACGCTGGTCTTCCATGGGAGCTGGGTCTTGCAGAGACTCATCAGACACTTGTTCTCAACGATCTTCGTGGTCGTGTCATTGTCCAGACTGACGGTCAAATCAAGACTGGTCGTGACGTCGCTATCGCATGTTTGCTTGGAGCCGAAGAATGGGGCTTTGCTACAACTCCCCTGATCGCCATGGGCTGCATCTTCATGAGAAAATGCCATTTGAACACGTGTCCTGTAGGTATTGCTACTCAGGATCCTGAGCTCAGGAAGAAGTTTGCTGGTACGCCCGAGCACGTCATTAACTTCTTCTACTACGTTGCCAATGAGCTCCGTGCAATTATGGCTAAGCTTGGCTTCCGTACTATCAACGACATGGTTGGTCGTTGCGAGTTCCTCCGTATCCGCGACGATCTCCGCACTGCTAAGACGGAAAACATTGATCTTTCGCTCATCCTAACTCCCGCACATACTCTCCGCCCTGGTGTTGCTACATTCAACGTCCGCAAGCAGGACCACCGACTACACGTTCGTCTAGACAACAAACTGATTGCTGAGTCTGAACTTGCTCTGGAGAAGGGTCTCCCTGCCCGTATTGAGTGCGATGTCGTCAACACTGACCGTGCTCTTGGCGCTACCCTTTCCTACCATATCAGCAAGCGCTATGGTGAGGCTGGTCTGCCCTCAGATACCATTCACGTCAACATTCGTGGATCTGCTGGACAGTCTTTTGGTGCTTATCTCGCACCTGGTGTTACTCTTGAACTCGAGGGTGACGCTAATGACTACGTTGGCAAGGGTTTGTCTGGAGGTCGTTTGATCATCTACCCTCCTCGCAACGCCGTATACCGTGCCGAGGAGAATGTCCTGATCGGAAACGTCTGCTTATACGGTGCCACTCAAGGTACTTGCTTCTTCCGTGGTATCGCTGCCGAGCGCTTCTGCGTTCGTAACTCGGGTGCCACGGCCGTCGTTGAGGGTGTCGGTGATCACGGCTGCGAGTACATGACGGGTGGCCGTGTCCTTGTTCTCGGATCGACGGGCCGTAACTTCGCTGCTGGTATGTCTGGTGGTATTGCTTACGTTCTGGATATCCACAAGGACTTTGAGCAGAAGGTTAATCAAGAGATGGTCGAGCTGTCTCCAATTGAGGAGCCAGAGGAGATTGCATTTGTGCGGGGCCTTATTGAGGACCACCACCACTACACCGGATCTGAGCTTGCCGCACGCATTCTTCTCGATTTCACCCGCGCTCTATCGCGCTTTGTCAAAGTCATGCCCATTGACTACAAGCGTGTTCTCTTGGAGGAGAAGGCCAGGCTTGCTGAGGAGAAGAGGAACAAGTATCCTCTTCCTCTACTCGCCGGCAACGCCGTCCGCAACGCCCATGAAGAGTCTCGCACCAAGGAGGCTGAGGCTGAGGCCAAGGAGAAGAAGAAGAGCAGCGGCTTGCTTGACATTGAGGAGAGTGTGACTGATGCAAAGGCCGAAAAGAAGAAGGCTCTTGTCCTCGACAAGACACGCGGCTTCATGAAATACCAGCGTCGCTCTGAGAAGTACCGCAACCCCAAGACCCGAACTCGTGATTGGGCCGAACTGAGTCAGCGTCTCAACGAAGATGAACTCAAATACCAGACTGCCCGCTGCATGGATTGTGGTGTACCTTTCTGCCAGTCTGACACCGGTTGTCCGATCTCCAATATCATTCCTAAATGGAACGAATTGGTGTTCCGTTCGCAATGGCGTGACGCTCTCAACCGTCTGCTCATGACCAACAACTTCCCAGAGTTCACTGGTCGTGTTTGTCCCGCACCCTGCGAGGGAGCGTGTGTTCTTGGCATCAACGAGGATCCTGTAGGCATCAAGTCAATCGAATGCGCTATCATTGACCGCGGCTTCGAGAAGGGCTGGATGGTCCCTACGCCACCTCAGGTCCGCTCTGGCAAGACTGTTGCCATTATCGGTTCCGGTCCTGCTGGTATGGCCTGTGCCGATCAGCTCAACAAGGCTGGCCACCTTGTCACAGTCTTTGAGCGTGCTGACCGTGTTGGTGGTCTCCTCATGTACGGCATTCCCAACATGAAGCTCGACAAGAAGGTTGTGCAGCGTCGTGTTGACTTCATGGCTGCTGAGGGTGTCAACTTCAAGACCGGCGTTACCGTTGGAGAGGAAGGTCATCCCAACCTTGAGAGGCTGCGCAAAGACTTTGACGCAGTCGTATTTGCCACGGGTGCCACTGTAGCTCGCGACTTGCCCATCCCCAACCGCAATTTGGAGGGCATTCACTTCGCTATGCAATTCTTGCACAAGAACACCAAGTCTCTTCTCGACTCTGAGTTGGCTGATAACGCCTACATCTCGGCCAAAGACAAGCACGTTGTTGTCATTGGTGGTGGTGACACCGGTAATGACTGCATTGGTACCTCTGTTCGCCATGGTGCCAAGTCTGTCGTAAACTTTGAGCTGCTGCCTCAGCCCCCACCAGAGCGTGCCCGCGACAACCCATGGCCTCAGTGGCCCCGTATCTTCCGTACTGATTACGGTCACAACGAAGTCAAGACTCACATGGGCAAGGATCCTCGTGAATACTGTGTCATGTCCAAGGAATTTGTTGACGACGGCAACGGCAAGGTCAAGGGCATCAACACTATTCGTGTCGCATGGACCAAGTCTTCTTCCGGTGGCTGGGACATGAAGCAAGTTGACGGCAGTGAGCAGTTCTTCCCCGCAGACCTCGTTTTGCTTTCTATGGGTTTCTTGGGCCCTGAGCAACGCGTCATGAGCGACATTGTCGAGCTTGATGGCCGCAAGAACATCAAAACACCCCCAGGTCACTACAACACCAACCTTCCTGGCGTCTTCGCTGCTGGTGACTGCCGTCGCGGCCAGTCACTCATCGTTTGGGGTATCAACGAGGGCCGCCAATGCGCTCGCGACGTTGATTCTTTCCTCAACGGATACGGCTCTTCGCTGCCCGTCACTGGTGGTATTGTTCAGCGTCCGCCCTACGAGGCTGTGCTGAAAGCCGGCCACGGCCATGCGGAGAAGCTGGCTGCTGTCGCCGCTTAGACGGTGACATAATTGTAATGACCTTTGTACGATGATATAAGGTTTATGATGAAAAATGGTTACGATAAGACAGAGAGAGAAAGGGCATTAAAGGTCCGCGAATTGTCTTTCTTTTTTTTTGCATCTTTCATCATCATGTGTTTGAGTATTGGTTCCTTTACTTGTTACCTGCACGATACCTTTTCAGTATGCGGCGTCAGCTGGGCCGGGAAACTTGCAGTGTACGATTTTTCTTTATTTTTTTGGTTGTTTTTGTTTCCTAAATTGTATATTCTTTTCTTCATTAAGAATTTTTGTGTAAATAGGCGAAATCAAAGCATCCTGGCTATAATTTGTTTGATTGTGATTGCGGAACTGCCGACAGCTATTTGGTGATGCACGCTAAATCTTTCCTTTTTGTGAAACGGGAAATAGGCATAGAAAAGTTGGCACCTTCAATACCATAACAATGTGACAACTGGCCTTTCCTTCATGCGATGAAGAGTTTTGAAGAATCTTCTCTCCAGCAAGTAGAACTTTTTTTCTTTTTTTCTAAAAAAAAAAATAGATATTGCTTTATTGATATCGAAGAGAGAGAGAGAGAGAGAGACATGAGACTTTTGTAACTAAAATGATCTCGGAATATTCTGGTATTCTTTCATTGCTTTTAGATTTCGGGGCGAGGAATAATGATTTTTATTACTACTCCGTCATGCTAAAAAAAAAAGAAATACTACATTTTTCTTCTCCTCCTCCTCCTTCTTCTTCTTCTTCTTCTTCCCTCCAGGATCAGAGAAACGGGCATTGGCGATTGTCAAAGTAGCCGCCTTACATGCATATACGAAAAGGGGTCCCGTTGGTAAAAAACTTGGCGACGACGACGACGACGACGACGACGACGACAACAATAATAATAATAATAATAACAACAACAATAAAGATGTTCAAGGAGAAAACCTAGAGTGCCAGTGACAGCGCGACGAAGAAACCCGTTTGCTTGGGGTGGTGTTTTTTTTATTTCATTGGACACAGGCCTGGGGTGATGCAATGGCAAGAATTCAGATGAGCTGTGGTAGGCCCTATTGAAAATATTTATTTATGTTTATTCGTTGTATATGTAAAATTTGTCGTCACCTTAGATACAGGCATTCTCTGATTCTGAAATTCTTCGATACATGTGCATGCTTCAACTTCTTGGGGCAGGACCACGACGTCAAGGCGTCGGTCGCACTGTAGCATCCTAGCAGGTCACGCTACACTAGAACGTAAACCTCGGGTATTCTCGGGGGGAGGGGGGAGGG